TTTTTTTTGAATTCTAAACCATGCAACACACGTGTTCAATTTTCATGTTACAAATGATTGGTATAAAAGGTGATTTTTAGTAATTACGGACAAAACAACACACTTTATGTGAAAATAACTGTTTTCACATCTATGATTATTGATTACGACTTTTAAAGCACATTCATTATGTTATTTTATATCAATCTACTATTGGATGTTACTTAATTTATTAGTTTTGAATATATTTATTCATATTTTCTCCATTTTCACCGATCTATTGTTCATAACGTTGGCATGGTAATTTAAGCATCATAATCACAATGACTTTGTTTTTGGTTTTGGGAACCTTATTTATCATTTTACCCCTTAAAAGCCTACATAATAACACCCATAATTTCATGTCTTCAAGCGCTTGGTAATTGTGCGACCGGCTGGCATTCTCCTTGGAAACTATCATCTTTCTATGTAAACACAATTTGGTACTTCTGCGATGAGGTGGTATTCAATGTGCAAAAGATCTATGAAGATTAATAAATGTTTGCAAATATGTAATTAACGTGTTTTTTAAAGTTTCAATGTTATTTTACTTCATCAACCGTGTGGTACACAAGTTATAACCTAGTAATATTACATTTACTTATTTATTTGCCAAAATGAAGAAAAGTTCTTGCTTATTTTTATATTTTTTTCTCTTACTTTATTTAGATATGGTTCATCGATTTTACTTTGTATAACTATAAGTGAAATAAAAAAGAAGCAGAAGAATTAGTCATCATATAAACTCCAGGTTCCATTCTCCATTTTCGTCAATAAGCGATTGTCTTTTGTTAACGATAATTCGTGATGGTGATAGTATGGATTACTCCTTGGATAGTTTTAGAAAAACAAAGGAAATGATTCGTTGATTATTCTAATTTCTAATCCTTTTTACAAAAATTAAAAAAATATATTTATGATGTATAGCTACATCTCTACAAACGTATCGAATACAAACAATTTAAAAAGGCTAATCAATCAAAAATCTTATGTACTTTAAAAACTAAAACCTGTTTCTAAATTTCATTAAACATCAATAATAAAATACAAACCTAATTTTATTATTCACATTTTCAAAATTACAAACCTGAATTACACTAAACATATATAAATTAAATAGAAAAATATTTTTTTCTAATTAGAACGTATATGTTAAAAACCATGAAAGTTTAGTGACTGTTTTATACATAATGTTTTGACAGTTTGAACATATCAGGTTAAGAAATGTGAGGGGGCTTACAGTATTTACTTTATATTCGAGGTTCCTTCAGTGGCATGGTGACCTAATTAAGGGGTGAGAAAAAGAAAATCAAAAAGAAGGAATTTATGAGCCTACAATGAAAATACAAAATGTGCCAAATATAAAATATACATGGTGGGAAACACTAGAGACTTGGAAAAATATGATATATCCGTTCCATAAATCAGTCAAACTTGTTAAAAACATACAGCAAAATACAATACGCAAAAACGATCTCAATACACTAAAAAAACGCAATAAACAAAAAGTGGAATAAAAAAGACATTTTTGCTTGTTCTAACATTAAAACATGTTCCGAAATCAACAAATGCCAATTTTAAGTGATGTAATAAAGCAATATTGTGGAGGAGTACAAGGTAAACACTCTTCAAATAGTAGTGATCCAAGTTCAATAAAACAACATTGTGGTCTGTGGAGGAGGACATGATCCTAATGCAAATTCCGTACAAAACACAAAATGGTTGGTTAGTCGGAAGAAGGATTTGAAGACCCAAAAAGGTTGAATTTATAATAAATAAATAAATAAATACTCTGTTTAATTTTACAAGAAAAAACTAATAATTCAAATAAAATAGTTTTTGAGATATGTTATGAGGTTTTATGTTAGCTTCTTATGTCAATTTATATTTTTCACACTTACAATTATTATATCAAAACATATTTATACAGATAAAAGTTACATTTTTCAACTAGTTTTTCTGAGTAAATTACACGTATGGTCCCAATGGTTTAGGATAATTTGCACATTTGGTCTCTAACTTACTTTTTTAACTCGGAAGGTTCCTACCGTTTGTTTTTGTTACGCACTTGGTCATTGTCTTACCTAAAAAGACTATTTTGCCCTTGATTTTTTTAATTTATTTAAATAAACACACTTCCAACCCCACTCCATCATCTTACCTTACCCACCCCACCATTTTTTCCTATTTAGATAATAGTTTTTTTAGGTAAGACAGGGACCAAGCGTGTAACAAAAACAAACAGTAGGGACCAATCGTGTAACAAAAACAAATAGTAGGGACCTTCCAAATTAGAAAAATAAGTTAAGGACCAAACGCACAAATTACCCCTAACCATAGGGACCATTCCTGTAATTTACTCTAGTTTTTTTTAACACACCTCAAATATAACCCAAAGTATTTTGAGTAAATTCTAAAAATTGGTCCTTGAGTATAAATGGAACTCACAACTTTGGTCTTTTTTTTGGTTAACTACTTTTTTTTTTTTACAGATTTCGTCCTAAATGGTCAAGTATAACTTCTTTTATATATCTTTTTTTTTAAAATAATCTAATACCAAAAATATAATACATTACAAGGACAAAATTTGTAATTTTACCAATTAACACTTGAGGACATTTTATAGGCTAGTGAGGGGTGAGCAGTGACCAATCAAGTAAGTAGGCCCATCAAGAGTATAACGAATTAAAGGCTGTCGATGCTAACAATACACACCAGTCATCAAGATTTAAATGAATTTTTTGTCCCCTCAATTCCAAATTTACAATTTTACCCCTCCACTCCCACCCCTCAAGTAAAGCATCTTCTTCATTCCCAGAACTCCAAACTCATTTTATCCGAATTATCCAGGTATCCCTTCCTTTCTAAATTTATCTTTCTTTAAAATCCATTAATATTTCCACTTTTCTCACATAATTATGTACAATTTCTTGAAGCCAAAGAAAACACACCCAAATTCTTCATTGAAGATATCCCAAATGGAATCCTCACAGGTATTTACTATTTAAAGTTTACTTCTTAATTTTTTTTTTTAATAAAATACAATCTTTTAGCTCCTAATTTATGTTTCAAATCCCTCAAAAGCCATTTCCAACCGAAACCAACCTATCAGATGCTCGAAAAAACGTAAGAGATCTCGCAATCAAGATTGAAAAATCAAACTCAAGAACTCAAAAACAGCACAAACAAGAAGAAAAAGAGGAAGATTCGGAGTACACAAAAGTGATGAAAGAAATCGAACACATCAAACAAGAAATGGGAAAACTGAAACTCGATATGAAACGCGTTTTGGAGGAGAAAAAACGAGCAGAAAACGTATTCAAAGCCTCGAGTTCTAAAAGTTATACGCTTTCAAGTGCAGTAGAAAGAATCAAGAAAGAAATCGAAGAACTCGATGAAGAACAGGTTCTTGTTGAAATAGCAAGAATCGAAGCTATTAAAGAATGTGAAGCCATTGAAGCTCAAAAGAAAGAAGAAGCCACTCGTTATCAAACCAAGTTGGAAGAAATCAAAAGGAAAACCGAAGAAATTGTCCAAACGAAGAACACTCCAGATTTGTTACAAATGATGAATGTAGAATTAGAATCTGCAAAAGCTGAACTTGAAGAAATTAAAAGGGAAGGTTTTGGTTTCATGACCTCCATGGATGTTATCAGAAACGAGCTCAAAATCATTCGAGAAGAATTGAGTCGATTAGAGAAAGAAGAAGAGAAACGTGACTTGACTATTGAAACCCTAAATTCAAAGATTTTGAAGGGGAAAGCGAAATTGGAATTGGTAAACGCCACAACCGAAAAAGCAAACTCGATCGCGTCGAACTTATCGATCACGGTTGACCAATTACGAGCCGAATCCGAGACCGTAAAGAAAGAAAAAGAGATAATAATCGAAGAAATCGAAAAAATCAAATTGGAAATCCCGAAAACGGAATCCGGAATCGAATTATCCGGGAAACAACTGGAATCCGTGATGGAGGAGTTGAAAAACGAAAAGTTATGGGAATTCAAAGCTCTTGAAAATTTAAAAAATTTAATCGATTCCACCGTTCAGGCGCGGGACCCGTCAAGTTTAAATAGTACAACGATAACAATAACGAGTTTTGAATACGAGTATTTGACCGGAAAAGCAGGCGGTGCCAAGGCGGTTTCCGATAAGAAAGTGGCGGCAGCTCGAGCTTGGGTGGAGGCGTTGAAGGCGAATGAGAAGGAGATATTGATGAAAGTTGAGATGGTTAAAAGAGAAATTAGTGAAATTGAAGTAATGGAAGAAGATTTATGGATTAAGAGGAGATCATCGATTGATGGTGGGGTAAAAGTTTTGGCATCACCTCGAAGATCGATGTATAAAATTGGGAATATGACACCCGGGAGACGAAGATCATTGAAGTTATTATCGCCTGCGACTCGACAGGCGATTAGATCGGCGAGTTTTAGTAAGAAACGGGAGAAGGCAACGAGTAATTTAGCAAAGCTTTTGGATGATGAGGATGATGAAACGGGTGAGTGAATTTTGGGAATGTAAAACGATGTTTGTTTTATGTTTGAATAAAGAGTTAGGAAGTTAGTTTACCCGTAATTCTTTAGAATTTTGTTTTCTAATCATGTAATTAGGCGTACAGATAAAAGGGTTCAACTCTTGGCAGTTGCAGTGGGAGTTTCAATTTCAATATGGCTTAAGAGAGGATTAGGTTCTTATACCATATTTGGTATACTTGCAAAAATGGTCTAGGGTTCGCATCTCTATAGCCACGGTATAAAATTTTCAATTCCAATGTGGATTGTGCTTCTTACATACACTCGACTTTTATGTCAGCTGTCAGTGTCAGTAACTGTTAGTTACTAATAGTATAGTATACCTGATTTACATTTTCCAGGATGATATCATTGTATGACAATAAGTGAATAGCCCTTTTTATTTTACATCATGATATATATCATTGTATGACAATAAGTGAATAGCCCTTTTTGCATAAACCATATAATAGGGGTTTCAAGTTTCAACTACAATCATTTAAATTTTGATTCATATTATACAGAATTAACATGGGGGAAAGATGAATTAATAACTGGAACAAGCTCTAATACTGTCTAAATAGCTTATACATAAACAAATGGTAATTTCGCAACATTTAACTAAATAATAGAACATTAAAAACATACCTAAACCACAAGCACACACTTAACGAAACTGGTCAAACTGTTATTGTTGTGAAGCACCGATTTGTGCAGAGGAATCAGACAACGCCACTGCTTCCATTTTCTTCACGATTTCAAACTTTTGAGGCGGAAATGGAGGCACAGAAGGCTGGCTCTTGTAAATCTGAGCATACACAAGGTCATTATCATACTCGTTTTCATAAACCGGGCCCACCTGTGGTGGTGGTGTCGCCACTCGTTCAGGTGGTGGAGCCGCCGCCATTGTATCTTTATGCAAAGGAGGACGAGTTAGGGTTCCGGTCATGTCAGCCGGAGTAGGGATATTGTAAGATTGATCTGCGGGGATCACGTAGATGGGGTAGGGTTGATGTGGCGGCTGTTGGTAGGGCATGTACATTGGGTAGTAAGAGGAGGAGATTGGTAGTGGTCCGGTTGGGTATTGAATGTAATTTGGTGGTGGTCCGGCGGGAATGTATTGAACCGGCGGCGCCGGTCTTTGGTCGGAGATGTGTTGTATCTGGTAACCGGAAACTTGACAGGTCCTTTGCATTTGAATCGTGGATGAAGGATTGTAGATTATACTCTCGGATTCAGGAATCATTTGTTCTTGATAGATTCGAGCTTTTTGATCGGGAAAACCATTTGCGACAGAATTATCACTATAAATGGAAAACAAAATTATCTAATTAAGTAATTATTACTCATAGCCAAATCATGGAGGATATGAACATAAGTATATAACTTGAGATTCGTTCTTCATTACCTTTCAATCGAACCAGGTGCAGCTACTTTAATCTTCTTATCCACCAAATTACCTCCAGCATCTTCATTGTTAGCCCCAATTTGGGTCAAATTTGAGGCTGAAATCGACGAATTGATCGAACCAAAAGAGGAACAAGTTTCCAACACCATTGATTCCGGCACCGAACCCGAATCACCACCAGTACCACCGCATTTCCCCGAATCCCCACTGTTCATCAAACTCTCACCATTCCCTTCCAAACAATCCATCCCCATTAAACCATTACCCATACCAGACCCATCAGACAACCCTCTGTTAATAATCATGGTGCTCTTCAAAGCATCAGAAAACCAGGTCTCCGATTTCGGGTCAAGCAATAACGACCCAACAGATTCGGGTCTGGTAGGGAAGAGGAATAATCGGATGCGGGAGGGAGTTGGGGAGCTTGCGATTCGGTCATGTTCTTCGAGCATGTTCTGGAGATCTTCATCGGTGGTGATGGAAATGAGAGAATCGAGGTCCTCGTTGGGGAGCTGGTACTTGAGCGTGAAGGGGCGGTTGCCGTAAAGAGCCCGAGAGAGATGGTGTGTGAGGGAGGAGATGGTGGAAGCTGTGGTGCGACGGTCAACGGCGACGATGCGGGTTTCTCCACCGGCGTAGCAGAGAGATTTGGTTTGTGGACGGGGGACTATGTGGCCACCGTAGCTGCACATAAGGCGGATTTTGGGAGTAGGTAAAGGTGGGAGGGAGTGGGAGTGGGAATGGGAATGGGGAGGTTCGACGGTGGTGGCGGTGGTGGTTGGTGGCAGAGGTGGCGGGTCCATAGCGGTGAAGAAGATCTCGAGAGCGGTTCTGGAAGGGGTTTTTCGTAAGCTACGGCTTTTCTTGCAAGGGAAAGAGTATAATAAGCAGGTGGTGGAGTGGGTCACGGCTAGGTGACATAAGGACTGTCACTGCCATGTTTATCCTTTAATTAAAGAAAAAATTTAAGAAAAAGTTAAATTTGTAGATACTATTTTATATTATCACAAGTTTTGTTTTTCTAATTTTGTTGGTTATGATTTCCACTAGTGTACGACTTCTTTTTTGTTGCTATGTAATTAATTTTTAAACCAGAAATTGCTCCTTCTCGTTTTCTTTGTCAAACTTTTTAAGTTCTAATATCCGTTTTGCGTGTAAATTCTTTAGTAGGTAAAGACTACTTTTCAAAAACTTTTAAACACATATACCATTTGTTAGTAAAAATATTTGACATATAGATTTTTTCTATAAGTTACGGTGATAGTTTTGTAATTTATTTTCTAAAAATGGATCAAACTTGACAACATACAAAAGTCTTATGGCGAACATACATGCCAACATATGAAAATCTTGTGGCAAAAGTGTCAAATCTTTACTATAAACTACGAACAATTTTCGTAAAAATAAATAAATAGGGACTTTTTCTATAAATTACGAATACAACTTTTGTAATATATATATATATATATATATATATATATATATAGTTAGGTTATAATATGGATGGTAAGTATTGTGTGGATGTAGGGATGAATGTGGACCAAAAGTTTAAAATACATATTCTAATAGAATACATATTCTGAATGAATACAAATTCTGACAGAATACATATTCTGATTGAATGAACATTTTGAAGAATAACAATTTTTTGAACGTTGAAGAATAACAACATTCTTAAAATCATTTATTATTAACATTATCGAATAATATAAGGTCCAAAAATAAACAAAAAAACAATTTTTATTGTCACATTCTATTAAAATACAATGTTATTTTTTAATTTTTGCCACATTATTAGAATACAAGCTTTATACCTAGTCATTCTTGAAAAAATCTTCATTCTATAAGAATACAATGTCATTCATGAAAGAATCTTCATTCTCATTATTGTTTCATGCTGTTATATTTTGATATTTTGGTGTCGTGAATTTCAATTGTCATGAAATTGTCTCTTAATTTCCATCCACCATTGTTGTTCTAAATAACTTTGCTATATTCTGAGTGGTCCTGAAACAAAACACATACAAATATAAGAAATCATTTCAAAAAATATGACTCCAAAAATATATTCATTTCAGAATACATTGTAAAAGAATAAAACTATAAGTTCTAACAGAATGTAATATATGTTAAATAATGAGATATAAATTCTAGTTGAAATCCAACAAAGAATTAGCTCATTGACCCTAATATGTAAAACAAAAGTCGCAACTTTCAAAGCAAAATATGAATCTTTCTACCTACATATATAAGAAAAAAATATATAGCTTTACTTACCCAAATCTAATGGATTCCCAACCTCAGCTTCCTATTTCCTGAAAAAAAAAATTACACATGTAATTATCATTGTGCAAACTATTTTAACAGTGCCTACATTACAATTGCAACTAAAAGGAGACTATGCAACAAAAATCCATATTAAATGACAAAATTGAGTCCAAATAGTCAACAAAAATCCACATTATACAAAGGAGAACAAAAATTATTGAACGTTTTTTGATGAACATTTTTAAAATGACTAATGTGACCTAATAATAAAAAATCATATTGTTCCTTGATTATGACTATGAATGTATGCATAATTATGTAGTTTTACAATTATAATCACCATAAAAAAAATTGAGTCCAAACAGTCAATGTTTTTGGATGAACATTTTTCAACAAGATCTCTTTTTAAAATAAAAAAATACAAGAGCTTTGAGACCATCGCCTCCAATATTTTGTTCGTTAACTTCTAATTTGTGAACTTAACAATTCAAAAGCAAAATTGCAATTAGTTAAATTCAATGTTAACATATATCTATATAATGTCAAACAAAAGAAAAGTTAATTACTATGAACAAATGGGAAATCCGATTAAAACAACACGATATACATATATAAAAGAAAAGTTAATTACACTTACTTTTTTGACCTCCCATCGTTCAACAACATGAACACATCCTTAATTAGGATAGTGTAATCGTTAATTGGGATAGAGATTCCACATGATCATAGAATTCTTGAAGAGAAGGATGACATCGGATCGATATGCGTTGATTGACAATGATGGGGCCGAAGGTCAATGGAACGGGAGGGATAAGATTTTGAGGGTGTCAATGGAAGAGGAAATAGGGTTTTAAATAGAGTAATTTACCTAAATTTTTAAGGGTAGATGATTTAGTTAATTATTTATTAAAATTAAATAATATTCGACCCATATTAATCCCTACATCCACATAATATTTGTTCATCCACATTTAAACCTATATATATATATATATATATATATATATATCTATATATATATATATATATATATATATATATATATATATACCAAACCTACCAGCATGCTAAAGTATTGTGTCTATGTCTAAAACTCCAAATTATACTATTTGTATGACACTTCTTTTTCATTATATATAATAATAATTATTGGGTTTATTCTTTTATAAACTAGAGTAAATTATAGAAATAGATAAACTAAAATAAATTATATAAATAATCCCATTAGTATATTACAATTCATAGTTTTAACTTAAGTTCCAAAAGTTTAACCATAGTATAACTTTAATAGGAAGTCACCGTTAAAAGTATGTAAATGACCAATTTACCTATTATTTGGTCCTTTTTATTTATCAATGTTCCAAACTTATAACCATTTGCTTCGATTGAACCTTTTGATTTTATGATATTCAAAGACTTATATACATAAGGTGGCATTTTATAGTCAACCTAAGTTAACTAAGTTTTATATTAAAGACTTTGGCTGACCCAGACAACTTAGATTGATTTGACGGTCTGAATTGTCTAAATGTTGGACTGTGACACTCGTTTTTTGATACATTATAATTAGTGTAATATAAACTTAGAATATAAAAAATGTATGTTAAAAACTAAAATGATGTTGTATTGAGTATATTTTGACCAAAAAGGGTATTTTGGTAATTTTGTGAATTTTCTAAGTTCTTAAGTAACTTTGTTAATGTTATTGGAGTTGTGTGATTCTAACATGTATTTCTAAACAAAAATTGTCTAGAGTAAAGAGCTTACTGTGTTAAGAAGTAGAAGTCTATAAGCACGGGTAACGTAGAAAAAAATGAAAAACTTATTCATGCATCAAATTTCGTGGTGCGGCGAATGAGGGAGTCGCGGCGGCATTTCGAAATGAGAAAGTGGTTGACGTAAAATGAACAGTGACGACAATGTACTTTCATAAAATCATGGCGCAAAAGAGGAAAGACGCGATGCGCTGGAAGTAGGATGCCATAACTTTTGTGACAAAGTTTTTAGTGACAGACAATAAAAGTGTCGTATAAGGTGAAGAAGTAACGAAGCAACAAAGAGGACATGGCACAACACAAGTCGCGACGTAAACATACAATTATCATGGCGCAAAGTCGCTAATGTGATAAAAATAAGATAAAACAGACACGAGTTGTTTTTAATCCCATTAATCACTCTTTTTGTTCCATGACAGAGCAATATAAAGAAATAAGATTTTGAGCAGATTTTCAAAGGAAGGCAAATAGGAATCAAGAGGAGGCTTCCAAAGTGTTGTCAAACACTTTTAGAATCAACTAAGTTCTATATACTAATTAATTTGTGATTTAGGCATGATATGATCTTGGGGTTTAATAACCCTAATTATGGTGATCGATTCATATGTTGACAATTTGATTTGTGACAATAGATAAAAGTTATAATAATATTAATTTAAGTTAATTGAATGGTGAACTATAGCTAATTACTTGAATTGGAAGTGAAATTGTTGTGAACCCTAGAAATTGAAATTTATGGTTTTGATCAAATGAGTTTATATCATGTTCAATGGAGTTATATAGATGATAAATTCATGGCACCTAAGTGATTTGAGTATTTAAAGTTATGTGAGATGTAGTATAAATGTGAATTCGGACAAAGTAAAGAAAATGGAAACATAAGGTGAGAAAGAAAGTGTTATTGTAATGAAAGCTTGTGTCTTAATGCAATAAGACACTTAAGTTATCTAGATATGAAGCTATTGAGATTATTGCATAATAAAGTATTATGATTTTAATATTTTGATGTTATGAAACTTATAAGAGAAATCATATGATGAGTTATAACACTTAAGAGATGTGTTATTACATAGGTTTTGGTGAAGTAAGAGCTAGAATTAAGACGAGATCTTAAGGAGTTTGAGCAAGTTCTTCTCAATAAATACAATGTGAGTAATTTAACCTTAACTCATATGATATATTGTGAAATACAATTAGAATTGTATAATTATATCTGTATTGATATAAAGTGTCATTAAAGGTGTTTTGATGAGATAATTTAGTAAGACTTATAAAGAGTATAAGTCGATCACACTAAAAGCATTCAAGGAGTTTGCCCTATGAGATGATAAATCTCATATGAGTATTGTGGCATGTTTAAACAATATGTAAGCCTCCTAACAAGTAATAATATTCAAAGGAGTAAACAAGTATATAAAGATTCATAGTAAATGTGTTACATGTTATTGATTTTAGTTGAATTAATATGATTATATATTAATATTATATTATAATGTGATAATGTTACAACTAAGTTAATCATTAAGCTTATGCTTATATTATGAGTGTAATTGTGGAAAGCATGAAACATTACCCTAAGAAAAAGAATGGCGGTTATGGAGAAGTAGGAGTTGGTCTAATAAAATTATCGTCTTTTTATGTAAAACTTTGTAATACCTGAACACTTAGTATTGGTATTTACTTCTTATGTTTGTAAATACTAAAGTAAACCTATGGTTTTGATGTATAAAATGTGAAAAATTTGGGTATGTTCTTATTTTAAAATATATGAAAATCTCGGGCGTTACATGAACAACTTATCTTATTGGAGTTTTTATCTACT